GGGGAGAGAGGGGAGGGCGGGTGGGCGGTCGGCAGGGAGGGACAGAAGGACCAAGGGAGGGAAGGGTAAGGAGCCAGCGGTGACAGCATGCTGGGGACCGAGGAGCGGCCTCTGCACCCCAGGCAGCAGCGACACCAACGAGATCCGTGCTCCCCAGCACGCAGCCCCGATGAGTTCTGGGGCAGGTGCCAGAACACGACCAGAAAGCTTCCCAAACAGGTGGGAGCACAGAGGGGGGACAGGGAAACACAGGTCGTGGGCCAGGGCCATCTAACTCGCAAGAAAGCAGAGAAATGAGGAACAGAATTTTCTAGAAACTGGTGTGAGCCACCGGCCTCAGCCAAGACAGACCAACCAGTACAGCCAGCACGGCCGGTCCTTCACGGGGCTCCCAGAGCCACACGATTTCCGCCTTCCGGCAGACAGACGTGGGAAAGGCCGAGGCAACTCGGCAGTAAAAGCCTCCGTGGCCCACGGAAGTCTGACCACTGATGCGTCTGGACCCGCGTGGGAGGCAGGTGCTCTGTGAGGGTCACGCCTCACTCCTAACCCTCAACCCAAGCCCCAGAGAACAGAGGACGCCTCCTGGAACAGGTAAGGCCCCTGTGGCCACACTCGAGCCCCCCTGGTTCTCAAAGCAGGTCCCTGCACCACCTCCCCAGTCCCCGGGCAGGCGAGAAATGCACCGCGGGCCCTGCCCAGGCCTGCTCGGCAAGAGCCTCTGTTGTCACCGAGGACCCTGATGCTCACAGCGTCTGAGAACCATGGCTGTCGTTAAATCTCAGCCTTCATTCCGAAATCCTGAAGGAGGGGGGCTCCGGAGCCTGGGAAGAGCCCCCTGCTCGCCCCTCCCCCGCCCCGCGCGCCCCTCCCCTTTGACAGCAGGCTGTCCTCTCCCACGTGTCAGCCACCCTGGGAGCAAAGTGAAGGGACCTGTAAGGCACCGTGGCTCCCTGCCCTTTTCCCCCACTGCAAGGACCTCACAGCCCGGCCAGCACTCGGCCTCACCGGGGAGGCTTTGCAAACCATCCAGCGCACATGCATCATTCGGATGTGGCTGGCTCCTGGTCCCTGCAGACACGCTCCGGGGGGAAACAGACACGGGCGTGGGGGGCAGGGGCCCCTGGGGTCCGCACGCCCGACCCTTCCCCGACCCGGTCTGTTACCTTCTCAGAAGGGAGGGTGGTAAACAGTAGCTGATGGCCACTCCCCTGGAGTCACCTCAAATTGCCGCGGGACCCAGACTGTGGGGCACAGCCCCGTCACCTCCCCCCGCAAGTGGGGCCGGCTGCCAGCCCGCCCCCCACACCACAGCCCGCGCTGGGCCCCGCACAACCATCCCGCCTGGAGGCCCTGAACTCGCAGCTGCCCACACAACACTCTGAGACACGAACCCCAAACGCCAGGGACCGGCACCCCGGCCGGACACAAGCCAGGTCCTGGAGAGTCCAGCAGGGCCGGGAGAAAGCAGAGGGGCCAGGTGTCTGGGGGCGGGGGCTGGCTATTTTGCGAGGACCCCCACACTGCTCACTTGCCTGCACCTGCACGGTGGGTTTGACGTGCGTCCCTCCCCTGGGCGCCTCGTCCACTCCGGGTCAGGACCTGGATGTAGGAGAGTGCCCCGTGCCCCGCGGACACAGGCCACCTGGTCTCCCAGCCTCCCAGCCTCCGAGCCCCCGGCGCTTGGCCCCTCCCACCCACACCTCCCATCCGTCCATCCGTCCATCCGTCCATCCGTCCATCCGTGAGGCGGGGTCTCTCCAGCGAAGGGGCAGATGCTGGAAGAAGGGAGGTCCCAGCCTGCGTGCCCTGCTCCCCAAGAGCCTCCCTCCTCACTCACCCCTAAGACCCGCATGGATAAGACCCAGCGCAAGACGTGCGGAGCCCCCAACCCCATCCCTACCGGACCCCCCAGCGGCCCGCCTCCCCCGGGGCCCATAAGTGGTGGCGAGCCCCATGAACCCAGCCCTGGGCCCCACACAGCCCCCTGGGCCCCACACGGCCCCCTGGGGACAGGAGCAGACCTGCTTCTACAGAGGCCTGGGCTGCAGGAGAGCAAGCCTCACCCCTGCCCCCAGCCCCGGCTCTCCCAGACCCAACTTCCCTGCTGGCAGCTCTTCCTGCCTCGTAAACACTGCATTTCCAGTGGGGAGCGTGCCCGCCCCAGCCAACAGCCTGCTGCGTGCACACGGGCACACGCTCACGCACACGGGCACACACACACGCACATGCACGTTCCGCCGGGAACATCTGTTTTGACAAACAAATTATTCAAGTCAGTCTACGGGACGCGGATTGACAAACCCTCCACATGGAGGCTCCTCGCTCAAAGCATCTCGAATCGGAGCCCAGCTGTGAACGATACAAGCAACTCTCCTTTTCTGGGCCCACACCCCCTTCCCCTCCAACGGCCCCAGCCCCCGCCAAGACCCCTTCCAAAGCCCCAGAGGCTTAGGTCTGAGCCACATCACACCCCTCCACCTGGGCTGGAAAGGCACTGCCCGGTGTGATGTCAACGTTCGCCCAGAGGGGCTTGTCAAAGACGCTGGGGGGGTGGGAAGGGTGAGGCGACCGCACACTGAGAGGGAAAGCAGCCGGTCTTGCCCTTCGGAGACCAAGCAGCGACATCCACCATGGGCAGGCGGAATGGTCTGGAAACATCTCCCTTTCCCCGCGGCTCCCCCGGTGCCGGGAGCCCAGCTACCTGGACCCCACGCCGAAGGGCATCCTCTAACCACTGGAAAATAAACTTTGTCAGGGCGGAGAGTTTCCGGCTACCACCCTGCCATCACCGCGCTGCGGCTTGGGTGCGGGAAGCTATTTTTAGGAGAAAAAAATAAATCTCAGCCTACCTTAGAAGCGAGCTGTGCCAAGACTGGGGAGGTTCAGGCTCAGACAACTGCAGTCTACTGTATCAGATTACAAACAGGGGGCCAGAGGGAGGGAGGAGCGGAGGGGGGAGGCGAGGGGGAGGGAGGGACGGAGGGAGGGAGGGAGGGACGGAGAGGGCACCGGTGTCTCAGTGCCGCTTGGATCCGGCCAGAAATGATTCATGAGTTTTCCGCAGGCAGGCAGGTCGGGAGGAAGCCGAGATCGGCCGCCATGAAGCATATATGCCCAGAGCCTACGAAATGTCCGTGTTTCGGCGCGCACTCACGCGCACACACGCATGCACACGCGCACACACACCCCCAAGATGGCTCTCCCTCCCCATCAGTCAGTTGTCAGTTTCCTTTTCACGGAGCTGCTGCGGTCAAAAGCTGGGACGGGAGAGGCGGGCAGGGCTGGGGGCCGGTGGTGTTCCCTGGATGGGAGCCACAGCGCGTCTCCCCTGCGGGCGCCCCGGGGGCCCCTGCGCAAGGGCCCAGGGCTGGGCAGCCGCACTCTGTTCGCCCCCGTGAAGCTGAGACCCAAATGCGGCCGGGAATTAAGCGATTATGTGGAACCACCCAAGCTGCTGGGTGTTTACCCTCTGGTCCGGCTCCCTGCCCCTGAGCCTCCAGGATAAAAAGAGAATAAAATGCTGTGTCCCTTCCTCCTCCCAGAACTTGGGGCTGCTGCATGGATGTACCAGCTCCCTAGCAACGCGGGCGTGCAAGAGAGTAAAAGGCGAGGAACGTGCTGGACTTCACACGCGTGTGCACGCACGCGCGCACACACACACACACACACACTCCCTTCCCAGGATAGAAAGTCCACCATGTGTTATTTAGAGGCGCTGAGGAATTTATCCCAGCAACAGGAGAGCCCTGGCATCGGGCCCCACGTGCCCTGGTCCCTGCGTGTCCGGGGACCAGGAGGGCGACAGCACGCCCACTGCGCACAGAGACTTCCCCAGAGGACCCCCCTGTTGCTTCTCCGATTAACACACTCACGTTACAGCTTTCACAAAACAGGCTTGTCCCAAAATGGGCTTCAAATGAGCCACGATGCTCCAAAACTAAATGGCCACGGGGGGACTCCTTCCCAGACGACTTTCCCGGCACAACAGTCCACGGGCTGACCAGAAGCTTCCCTCGGCGGGACTCACCTCTGCTTCCCGAATACGGAGAGCGTCTGGATTTGCCTGTGAGGTGGAGGCTTCTCTCAGAACCGCGTTCTGGAACCCTAGCCCATCTCCACTGGGCAAGGAGTAGCGCTGACACCAGGAGTAGGTACTGGACCACCCAGCACTTCTGTCTCCCTCCCGCGGGCAAGCTGTGACCCGTAATGGCGATGCGGAGGGGGACCGGCACCTATGTCCACAGCGCTAGTCACGACGACTGGAAGGTGGACACAGCCCGACGGGCCGCTGATGGCCAGACGGATCCACAAAACGTGGTCCGTGCAGGGCAATACCCTTCCGCCATTGAAAGGAACGAAGCCTGACACCAGCTACCACATGGATGGGTCTTGTAAACGTGGCACATGTGGTTCTCCGAGTAGACGTCCTGAACGGCAGACCTGCAGCGACAGAAAGCGGACGGGTGGTGTGGTTGCCAGGGGCTGGGAGGAGGAGGCAGGAGGGAGGGCGACAGGGTTTCTTGGGGGACGACATTGGGCAGGAGCCACACAGAGGCAATGTTCACACACACATACCAAACGCCACGGAATTGTTGACTTCAAAATGGTTAATCTGGGGCGCCTGGGTGGCTCCGTCGGTTGAGCGTCCGGCTTCAGCTCAGGTCACGATCTCACGGTCCGTGAGTCCGAGCCCCGCGTCAGGCTCTGTGCTGACATCTCAGAGCCTGGAGCCTGCTTCGGATTCTGTGTCTCCCTCTCTCTCTGACCCTCCCCTGTTCACTCTCTGTCTCAAAAATAAATAAAACATTTTAAAAGTTTAAAATATATATATATAATAATAGGGGCGCCTGGGTGGCTCAGTCGGTTGAGCATCCAACTTCGGCTCAGGTCATGATCTCACAGTCCGTGGGTTCGAGCCCCGCGTCGGGCTCTGTGCCGACAGCTCGGAGCCTGGAGCCCGCTTCGGATTCTGTGTCTCCCTCTCTCTCTGCCCCTCCCCTACTCATGCTCTGTGTCTCTTTCTCTCAATAATAAATAAATATTAAAAAAAAAAAAAAGACTACAGAATTGTTCCCATAGGATTTCACACTCGTGGGTTCTGCTCGTGCAAGGGTCTCTGTGTGAGCCCATTTCGCGGGCCGGGCAAGCCGAGGTCAGGAGAGGAAACCATGTCTGCCAGGAGTCACGGTGTCAAATCAGAAAGGGAAGGCAGGGATTCCACCTCTGGACGTCATGTTCTAGTTTGATGAATATCAGGCAGACGTTGCGCATAAGAGGCTGGGAAATGTAACAGACCAGGGGTTCCACCGGGATGCTCTTGGGTTACTAACAATGAGAAAGAAGCCGTCCCCGCTCTGTAAAGGACAAGGACGTGTCCAATGCAGCGCCAAGGAGCTACCCAGTTCTGAGAAATGGGCCCCTGGCTCTGAGACCAGCTTCCTTGACGAAATCAGAGAAGCTCATCCTTTCTGTGACCGTCACGGGCCACCCGCCAGCCCTTGACCAGAAGACAGACCGCACAAAGCCATGGCTGTTAACCGGGCCTACTCGGGTACTCGAGGCTGCCATAAATAATGCGCCGTGCGGTTATCCAACCACGAATGCAACCAATGTTGCCAGATGTCAGAGACACACCAGGTGTGGAGCCACAGCAGCCACGGAGGGCTTTCCGGTTGTGCCCACGGAGAAAGCACGACCGGGCAGTTTCCACTTCGGACGGCCGTCTGAGCAAATGTCAGCCGTTTGCCTGCTGCGTGGTTCTGAGGGCTCCGGGTCAAAGCAGACGAACCGGCCACCGCTAATAGCAGGTCCGCGCCCACCACGGCCACCAGCGCCGTGGCGCCTCAGGGCCTTGAGCTTCCACCAAGCACAGCGAGTTTTCAGAGGCCTAGTCCAAGGCCACCAGCCGTGTGTCCGCTTCAAGCAGCCTCTGGAGGGCTGGCGGTCACCAGGACCTCAGCACTGGGCGGGGACAGACCCTGTCTGGGACAGACCCCACAGCGCCCTGTCCGCGTGCAGGGAAGTCGGAACGGCAGGAGGCAGGCAGGACTTGGAGACAGTGCGATGATCCAGGGGGACACCCAGGCGCCCCAGGAACCTGTTGCAAATGAACAGCACAGCGCAGCAGAGGATGGAACAGACTAGAACAGAAATCTGTGTATGTTCTATAATCAAATCGTATGTTATTTTCCTTACCAGCAAAAATGATTTATGTATTATTATATATATTAACATGTAAAAATCAATAGCTTTCTTACAGAAGAACAGCCAGTCAGGAAAGAAATCGGGGCGCCCGGGGGGCTCAGTCGGTTGAGCATCCAACTTCGGCTCAGGTCACGATCTCAGTCTGTGGGTTCGAGCCCCGCGTCAGGCTCTGTGCTGACAGCTCAGAGCCTGGAACCTACTTCAGATGCTATCTCCCTCTCTCTCTCTGCCCCTCCCATGCTCATGCTCTGTCTCTCAATAATAAATAAATATTAAAAATTAAAAAAAAAAAAGACGAAGAAAGAAAAAAAATCCCTTTTAAAATGGCAAACAAAGGGGCACCCAGGTGGCTCAGTCGGTTGAGCACACAACTTCGGCTCAGGTCATGATCTCACGGTTTGTGAGTTTGAGCCCCGCATCAGGCTCTGTGCTGACAGTTTGGAGCCTGGAGCCTGCTTCGGATTCTGTGTCTCCCTCTTTCTCTGCTCCTCCCCCATTCACACTCTGTGTCTCTCTCAGAAATAAACAAACATTTAAAAAAAAAGAGCAACGGGGGTGCCTGGATGGCGCAGTCGGTTGATCATCCGACTTCAGCCGGGTCACGATCTCGCGAGGTCTCACGTGATCTCGCGTGAGTTCGAGCCCCGCGTCGGGCTCTGGGCTGATGGCTCAGAGCCTGGAGCCTGTTTCCAGTTCTGTGCCTCCCTCTCTCTCTGCCCCTCCCCCATTCATGCTCTGTCTCTCTCTGTCCCAAGGATGAATAAATGTTAAAAAAATAAGTAAATAAATAAATAAATAAATAAATAAATAAATAAAATTAAAAAAAGAGCAACAAAGGAGCGCTAGCCTTACCAGACATTAACATATCTTACCAGTATATAAATAATGTCCTTGGTCCTGCTGCATGAACAGATCAATCAACAGGACAGGCTTGGATACATGGATCCAATTACCGACGAGAATTTAACGTACGATAAAGTGGCACTTTTTTTTTTTTGAGTTTATTTATTTTTGAGAGAGAAAGAGAGAGCATGCACACTTGCAAGCAGGGAAGGGGTAGAGAGAGGGAGAGAGAGAGTCCCAAGCAGGAATTCCACAAACCTTGAGATCGTGACCTGAACTGAAATCAGGAATCGAACACCCAGCTGCCTGAGCCTCCCGGGTGCTGCGTGGCACTTGTAATCAGTAAGAAAAGACTGGTCCTTCAATAAATGATATTCATAAACCTGGATAATTTTTGAAAATATTCTTATGCAATTTCAAGGTCAATTTCAGCTGAATCAAGTATTGAAACATAAAAAGGGGGAAAAATGAGACTTCCAGGAGAAATCACGAAAAGGGAATTTTAAGCAAAGCAGACACACCAGAGATAAAGAAAGGGAAGCCCCCTTACGTCTGATACGTGGAAATTCAAAACTTCTGCACAGTAAAGAAAAGGCCACAAACAGAATCAAAAGGTAACTTACACAGTGGGATAAAATACTTGCGACACAAGTTGTGGACTCGGGTGTGGGTCCGGGTTTTGTGGGGCCTGCAGTTCACTCCACGTGGGGAGCCCTGTCTAAGAAAATCAAAAACAAAATGAAAAAGAAAAAATCCGATGCAAAACGGCACAAACACGATTACTTACAAAGAATGAGAAAATGAACTGCAACAAATCCTACACTTTAAAAAGCTAACAGATCCTGCAAACAACACAAGATCCACAAAAATGGCATTGTGGGTTTTTTTTAACTTTTTTTAACCTTTACTCATTTTTTTTTACATTTTATTTATTTTTGATAGAGAGACAGAGCACCAGTGGGGGAGGGGCAGAGAGAGACAGAGACACAGAATCCGAAGGAGGCTCCAGGCTCCGAGCTGTCAGCACAGAGCCCGACGCGGGGCTTGAACTCACAAACCGTGAGATCACGACCTGAGCCGAAGTCAGATGCCCAACCGACTGAGCCACCCAGGTGCCCCAACCTTTATTCATTTTTTGAGAGACAGAGAGACAGAGAGACAGAGCGTGAGCAGGGGAGGGGCAGAGAGAGAGAGGGAGACACAGAATCCGAAGCGGGTTCCAGGCTCCAAGCTGTCAGCACAGAGCCCAACGCGGGGCTCGAACTCCCGATCATGACCCAAGTCGAAGTCGGATGCTTAACTGAGCCACACATGCGCTCCTGCATTGTGTTTTTTTAACTAACTGTCTGACACACCTCCGTAATATATATGTATTTTTTATTTTAGCTGCAGGGCACCTGGATGGCACTGTTGGTTAAACATCCAACTCTTGATTTCAGTTTAGGTTGTGATCTCACAGTTCGTGGGTTCGAGCCCCGCGTTGGGCTCTGTGCTGACAGCTCGGAGCCTGGAGCCTGCTTCAGACTCTGTGTCCCCCTCTCTCTCTGCCCCTAACCCACTTGCATTCTGTCTCTGTCTCTCTCAAAACGAAATAAACATTAAAAAAATTTTAGAATAATCGATAAAATTTTGTTCTTTTAAATATTGGTAGTTTTCTTTAGCAAATTTCCTTCACATAAAATTACAATAAACGTACTTGGGTGTGTGAACACAAGTTCCAGGTACTAGAATTCTGAGAGATTCTATTTGATTTGACTACCAGCAAAAAAGTCAATTAGGTTTCTGATGGATCATGTCTGTGTTTGCTAGATTATCAGGGATAATGTTCCTGCAGGAGGAATTCGTGGTCGGCCACACGTGGATAAGAACGGCATCGTGGAAAAGTTTTACTTTGGAGGGCTGCCGGGGTTTTTCCACGGACTGGCTTCTGCCTCCACCCACTTCAGACCGCTCTCCTCACCCGCTAGCACGTGATCCTGGTGCCAAATTCCACGAGGTGCGTGGATATGTGTCCAGATCGTGCTACGGCCTTTGGCCATGCAGGACCGACAAGGGAAATTCAGCACAGAGAAGAGTGAAGTCTTACAGGAAGCCGTCCCTTTTCAAAATGGCTAGCGGTGATCTTTGTACCCACAAGTGACAGAAAGCCCCCTAAACACATCCCACGTCATCCACGTTCAACGTAGCCCGAGCGGAACCGCCTCTTGGCCGGATCTCAAGCCTGCCCACCACCCACCAGAACAGGAGGAAGGTACAATCCTCTTGGAAGAGTGCAGTGACAATAACTTACTGGGGTGAATCCTTCCCGGGGTCCTGTGAGGGTTTATACAAGTGAGAGTCTCTGAAAACTGAACTTCATCGGTTTCATGATACATCTGCCTCTTGACAAACTAAAGACTAAACTGCTTCATATATAAAGAGCTCTTACAAATCAATGAGACCAACCATCCAACACAAAGATTGGAAAAGGACATCAATGCACAGCAACCCCAATAAAAAAATGAGGTGCTGTTACAACACAATGTCCAATATACATTAAGTGAAACAAAGAAAAAAAAAAAAACCCAAATACTGTCAGGGGCACCTGGGTGGCTCAGTTGGTTAAGCATCCGACTTCAGCTCAGGTCATGATCTCACAGTTCATGAGTTCAAGCCCCACGTCGGGCTCTGTGCTGACAGTTCAGAGCCTGGAGCCTGCTTCGGATTCTGTGTCTCCCTCTCTCTCTGCCCCTGCCCCACTCAGGCTCTGTCTTTCTTTAAAAAAAATAAACATTAAAAATTAAAAAAAAAAAAAAAGACTGTGTGTATGTGTTCCCTTGTTTGCATATAAAACAGGAATGCTTAATGTTTCAGGAAGTTCACGCACAATGGTAACAGTGGTGGCCTCTTGAGAGAGGGGCAAAGGACCTAAGAGCTTGAGTGTTCGAGATCCCATGTCCTTTGGCACAGTGTGAATTTTTCACACTAGGTTGGTACCTAGGTTTGAATTGAAACCGGCCCTGGGGGTCTGGAACCTCAGACGGCCCCTCTCCCCCTGCAGCCGGCATCTGGAAGGTGGGCACCAGCGTGGCAGGTGGGAGGCCCGTGGTCCCTGCAGCCACAGCCCTGGGCCCAACTCACCAGCCGCTCTTGGGGGCAGGCCTCTGGCCAGCGGCCCCTCCTGCGCTAGGGAAGGCACGGTCCCCCAGGGCGTGGTGGCGGGTCAGCGACTCAGGGCCGGGAGAGCCACCCTGGCTGTGGAGCGGACCCCAGGGCCTGAAACTCTGTCCTGGGCCCTGGTCCCAGCACCTGCTCGGAGCCACGGACTGAACAGGCAGCCAGAGAGGATAGTATCTCCACACCCTCGGCATCCACCTGAGGACCACGCTGGTCTCTCCACCTCAGTGTGTTCACCGCAGGTATTACACAGTCAGGAGGCCTATTCCGGTGCTCCGCTGCCCTGGCCGTGGGTGGCAAACGGGCCAGTTCCAGCATCTGGTCCAACCTGCCGGAGCCCAGCCGCCTGGCGTGTCATCAGGAGCAGCGCCCGGTCCACAGCCGCTGAGAGTCGTTGATGGCATCTGGAACGTCTCCAAAAGTTTATAGAAAGAGTGACTTGAAGCCCACCAAGCACAGCACTGGCGAGCCCTCCACGGGACGGACCGGGGACATTTCAGGCCGTCTTGGGCAGCACCGAATCATTTCAGCTCCGCCTTGTCTGCTCACGTGCAAACAAAAACCAAAAAGCAAAAACAAACAAACAAGCGTTGAGACTATTTCACCCAACAGCCCACGGGCTGGAGGAGAGACTTCGTGACAGGTGTTTTTAGCTGGTTGGGAAACTTCCACCAGGAATTTCAAATCTGCATGCGTCTTGCCAAGGGCAGAGGCGGTCCCGGACGTGAAAGCAACATCAGCTCGCCCAGCAAACCGGGAACCCCAGCAAGCTAAGATCAAACGGGCTAACTGTTCCTAGACGCGGCTTCGGAGAACAGCGGAAGACTTAAATCAGGGTTTGCCAGTCAGATGCCCCTGGGGACCGACCAAGGTAACGAATGAGGGTAACAGCCTGAGGGTGAGAACCTGGGTCCCTCCAGGGGGCTCTTCCCTTATGACTTTTAAGGCCACGTCACTTGCCACTTAATTCTGCCGTGATAAAAATGGTGGGAGGACACCAGGTATGGTGTTGATACTTAGATCCCACGCAGGGGTGTGTGCAGGGGGTGCCGAGGGTATGGGTGTGCGGGGGCCACCAGACTAAGTACCCCGGGCTGAGGGCTTGGACAAACAGAGCTCTGCTCTCGGTTCCGGAGGCAGGTGGAGAGCAGGGTCTCAGCAGGGCTGCGGTCCTGCGGTCCTGAGGTCCCCTCCCCACATCCTCACTTGGTGGTCTTCCCCCCCCCCCCGTGTGTGTCTGTCAGATCTGAGCAGCACACCTGTCACCCTGGATCAGGGTTCTGAGGGACTGAGGGTTAGGACGTCGACATGTGAATGTTGGGGGGACACAATTCTAGAAGCCCACCACGGTGGGGCACCGGCAGTCGGCCGGAGCGGGGAGGGGCACAGCCACACCCCAGATGTGGGGAGCAGGTGGACAGGCCCCCCCGGCGAGGACACGGCTGCTCCCCGAGTTCTGGTGGAGAGGAGTCTTCCCTTCCAGACGCCCCCGGCTCTCCTGAGAAAGCACGTTTCCTTGCGAGAAGAGCCTGTGGTTGGGTTTTTAATGGAATCAACTCAGCCTTTTCTGGATTATTCCAATAACTCGAAAATCAAAGCCACAGAATGTGAAAACGAAGCAGCATTTAAAAATGAGCTTCCAGGGGCGCCTGGGTGGCGCAGTCGGCTAAGCGTCCGACTTCAGCCAGGTCACGATCTTGCGGTCCGTGAGTTCGAGCCCCGCGTCGGGCTCTGGGCTGATGGCTCAGAGCCTGGAGCCTGTTTCCGATTCTGTGTCTCCCTCTCTCTCTGCCCCTCCCCCGTTCATGCTCTGTCTCTCTCTGTCCCAACAAAATAAACGTTAAAAAAAAAAAAAAAATTTAAGAAAAAAAAATGAGCTTCCGAGAGGCTGCACCACTTGGCACTCTGGACAACAGTGTGGACGGTCCTCAAAAAATCAAAACCAGAACTACCCTGCGACCCAGCAATGGCACTACTAGGCATTTATGCAATGGATACAGAAATGCTGGTTCGAAGGGGCGCACGCACCCCAACGTTTTCAGCAGCGCTATCGACAACAGCCCAAGTATGGAAAGAGCCCAAATGTCCATCGGCTGACGAATGGATAAGGAAGATGTGGTTTATAAATACAACGGAGTATTACTCGGCAATGAAAAAGAATGCAACCTCGCCATTTGCAACAACACGGATGAAACTAGAGGGTATTACGCTAAGCGAAATTAGGCAGAGAAAGACGTATCATATGATTTCCCTGGTATGTGGAATTTAAGAAACACAACGCATGAACATAGGGGAAGGGAAGGAAAAATAATATAAAAACAGAGGGGGAGGCAAACCCTAAGAGACTCTTAAATACAGAGAACAAACTGAGGGCTGCTGGGGGGGCGGGGAATGGGCTAGATGGGGGATGGGCATTAGGAGAGCACCTGTTGGGATGAGCACTGGGCGTAAGAAGAGAATCACTGGGCTCTGCTCCTGAAGCCAAGACTACATGTATGTTAACTAACTTGAATTTAAATTTTTTTATTAAAAAAAAATTTTTTTTTCCAACGTTTATTTATT